CAAGTGATGCAATGCTACATTTCTCCAGATCTGATGAAGAAACAAGCTCAGCTACATCTTGGACGTCCTGCTGGTTAGTTTCCAGTAAATTTCAGTGAACTATTCCTTTAATCCAATTTATTTTGCTTTCCCAACTACGCAAGAGTAACCGATTCATTTACTTTATTATTTCCATTTAGCACGTTTTTTTTTTTACTCGCTGTTGTCCCACAAAGTGGGCCACAATCCACCTCAACGAACCACTGTTTCTGTATATGACATTATTGCTGACAATTCTTATAGACATCATTTAAATATGAACACACAGATACTTGTGTAAAGATGTGGTAAATATTATAAAGCCAGCAGCATTTATCTCATTTCAGCAACATATAACAAATAATGATGATGATGCATAAGAACAAAATTAATACATTTAACCACTCAATTAAAAATAAACCAAAATATTTTTTAAGCCAGAGATAATTATAGCTGTGTGTTTCAGGAGATTCATAATGAAATGAAAAAACCCTTTCATTTCCCCCAAACAGCATCTCTATGCTGCCACCCACAGAAATTATTATTGTTTTTACCAGTCGACCTGTTTCGTATCACAGATGTTGGCAGCTCTATTTTAAGAGCCAGACGATATTCAGTGCAAATAAAACAAGTACAGAAATGGCATCATTTCTGTCAAAAGGGGGAGAAACAAAAATAGTAATGGCACATCTTTTAATTTAAAAAACAGCCTGCCAGAGAGCTTATTACGCTAAAAAAAGAAAGTTGCCCACATGGGTTAATGGAACAAAAATAGAGGCGTCTGTCAGAGCTAAATGAAGAGAATGGTGATCAAATGAAGGGACCATGTTTGTTCAGTGTTGACTGTAATATGGAAGATGTTAATAAGTGTTGTTGATGTTTGCCAATGTTAACTGCTTGGAAATCTGTTAGTTTGGAAGCCAGGGTGAAATGACTCGAGTGGAGCATCTGTTAGGCTCGTGATGTGTTTCACACTTTGCTCAGATCCAGCTTGCACAGATACGGCGAGCGGAAGGAGCCCAGGTACAGGTAGCCGTTGTACTCGTGCGCCTCGCTGATGTAGGCCGCCACCATGCCGTGTGGGTCGTGGAAGCTGCGCACGCACGTCCCTCCGTCCTGCAGCTCCACCACCAGACTGTAGCGCGGCACGAACTTCAACAGAGTATCTTGACTGAAGAGCTGAAAGCACACAAAACGTGGAGAAGCACATTCATTTTAGTAATATATATATGCAGTGGAAATGTGTAAAAACACTTTAAATAAACATTGACTGTATAAATCACATTTCAAAATGACAAATAGACAGACATTTATTTTACTATTACATTTAACACAAACGACTGAAACATCTACTGCATGAATGTCAGTTTGAAACATTATGTAAATGTTATTTTACTGTTACGTTTAACTACATTTTAAACAATTTAAATGAACATTGACTTTACAAATGTATACAGTGCCATGAAAAGGTTTTTGCCCCCTTCCTGTTTTTTGATTTTTTTGCATATTTGTCACACTTAGATTCAAATCATCAAACCAATTTTAATATTACACAAAGTTAATGCAAGTAAATACAAAATGCAGTTTTGAAATAATGATTTCATTTATTAAGGTACAAAAAAGTTGTCCAAACCTACCTGGCCCTATGTGAAAAATTAATTGCCCCCTCCTGTTAAATCATGAAAGAACTGTGATTAACCACATTATTTTAGAAAGCTGAGTTACATTTGACAAGCCACACACCGGCCTGATTACTGCCAGACCTGCTGAATCAAGAAATCACTTAAATAGAACCTGTCTGACAAAGTGAAGCATGCTTAAAGAGCAACACATCATGCCGCGATCTAAAGAAATTCAAGAGCAGATGAGAAACATGTATAGTTGACATGTATCAGTCTGGAAAGGGTTATAAAGCCATTTCTAAGGCTTTGGGACTCCAGCGAACCATGGTCAGAGCCATTATCCACAAATTGAGAAAACTTGGAACAATGGTGAACCTTCCCAGGAGTTGCCGGCCGGCCAAAATTACTCCAAGAGCGCAACAACGACTCATCCAAGAGGTCATAAAAGAACTAGGGATGCACGATATTGGATTTTTGCCGATATCCAATATGCCGATAATTTTCAACTCATTTTGGCCGATAGCCGATATATAATTATTTTTAATTTTGGTTCGTTTTTAACAAGAACTTATTTGTTAGAATTAAATAAACAACAATAAATTTATTTTATAATGTACATTGAAGATTTGAAAATCTAAAGCAAAAGTAAAAAATTCTGAAAATCTTTTAGAGCTCATAATTTGTTTTTAAATCAAAACATACTCATGATTTTATGGCATCAATTACTGCTTTATTTGATCAGAAACAGTCTAAATATTATTTGTGTATTTTGCTTTCATTTTATTAGAAGTAGGCCAACAGTGCCCCCTACAGAATTAAAATTCATTACCGAACGGGCTTTAGGACCTGGGAGAGGCTGCCGCTGCACGTGCCATTACTGTTTACTCTAGCATACACCGAACGCCTCATTCTGTATGTGCATTCTCAGTTTAAATGCAGCGATCCAAAACAGTGAATCTAATCATCATTCAGGAAAAACTTTGCTTCAAGAATGAGCCACACTGCTGACGTGATCTAATCACTAGCACACCTTGAGCACATGTGAGTTAATGTACTGTATTCCTCTTATCGGCAAGATATTGGCATAATTTTTCATATCCGGCAATGCCGATATTTGCATTTAAAGCCATCATCGGCCGATTCTGATATTGGTCCGATAATATCGTGCATCCCTAAAAAGAACCCAGAACAACATCTAAAGAACTGCAGCCCTCACTTGCCTCAATTAAGGTCAGTGTTCAAAGTCCAGACTTAAATCTGAGTGAGATGCTGTGGCATGACCTTAAACAGTCCATTCATGCTCAAAAACCCTCCAATGTGGCTGAATGAAAACAATTCCGCAAAGAAGAGTGGGCCAAAATTCCTCCACAGCGATGTGAAAGACTCGTTGCCAGTTATCGCAAACGCTTAGATTTAGGGGGCAATTACTTTTTCACGTAGTGCCAGGCAGGTTCGGACAGCATTTGTCCCTTAATAAATGACATCATTTCAAAACTGCATTTTGCATTTACTCGGGTTATCTTTGTGTAATATTAAAATTGGTTTGATGATCTGAATCTTTTAAGTATGGGTTTAAAAATAAATAAAAAAAAACAGGAAGAGGGCAAAAACCTTTTCATGGCACAGTATTTATTTGTCTATTTGAAAAGTGATTAATTTTGCTGCATTTTAAACAGCTGAAATAAACAGCTATAAATGTCTATTTATTTGTTCATTTGAAGTGATTTATTTATTTATTATTATATATTATTTTACCGTTACTTTTAACTACATTGTTAAACAATTAAAATAAATGGCTGTACATTTTGATTTGGCTCTCTATTTAAAAATGCATGCATTTTATTTTACTGTTATCTATTATTCTACTGTTCTAAACATTTAACTACATTTTAAACAATTTAAATAAACAACTATAAACGTCTATTTATTTGTCTTGTTGAAATATGATTTATTTCACGGTTACATTTAACTAAATTTAAAAAAAAAATCTAAATCCATTTTTGTCAATTTGAAAAGTGATATTTGTATTTTGCTGTTACATTTACTACAACTTTAAACAATTTTAATAAACATCTACTGTATAATTGTCTATTTATTTGTTATTTTACTGTTATATAAAAAAAATAGTAAAATATTTAAATAAAACTATCAATATTTTATAGATTTAAATAGCAATGTTTTTAAAAATTTGGAAAAATCAAATAATAATCATTCATAACTATACCTTAAATATGAGCTTCTTTAACCAGGGTCTTTGAGACAGGAAGTCAAGCATGGAGAAGCCAGGGTTGGGTCGCACAGCGGACATGGCAACCCAGTATCCACCCGAAGAACTGCGTCGAATGTTGTCAGGAAATCCCGGAAGGTTGTCTATAAATGTATCCATACCTCCTTTATTAAGACCAGACACGTGAACTCTGTCAACAGAAAGCAAATATTCAATATGCAGCAGTGATAAACTAATATTTCAGCTAAACCCATAAATCAGTCTGTGTTTGTTTTTTTGAGACTAATCAACATTGGAGTTATTTGCAACGTAACAATTTTGGTTCCAATTCATCAGCAACCCTCAGTTAATCTATGAGAAGAGCCAGAGTCAA